GTGCTTGATAGATTTTAGGAAAAATCACCTGTCATGCTATATTAGATTGTAAAAATTCTTACTGGTGATTAGCATAAGATACAATCTAGAGCTTTAGACAGGAAAAGGATGGGGTTAGATCTGTCAGAATACTCAGCCTAAGGCTACTAAAAATGGCCCTCTAAAACGTGGTTATTTGGTTAAACTCTGAATAAATATGGGAGAAAAGAGCTTCTCCCTGTTACTCATTCTTTGTGCTTTTAAACAAGTAAGAAAGTCCTTTCTCTTCTCTATATGAAGATGGAGCACGACCTGCTGAACTCAGAGTTGGGTCAGGAGACCACCTCAGTGGATTCCAACTGCAAAATCAATGCACAGGGCTCCATGGCATGCCGACTACTGGGCTCCTGGCTGGACACCTACAAGCCTCCAGGATGACAAGCACATCACAGTGTGCTTTTGCTACATGCAAAAGTAAGACATCAGCACCTTACCCTTTCCACATTTCAAAACAGGATTTAAACAAGAGCCAGCCTGCATATTCACCCACTGGCCAAAACTGAAATAGTCTAAGCAACAAAATAAGTAACAGTAATACTAGTTTGTAACCCAAGGATAGAAGAAATATGAAAGCATCCTTCCTGATATGAATTAATACCTGAATAAATAAATGACAGAGACAGAAAGTTCTTCCTCACAGAAGAATTTTGATTAATAAATATAGAAGAAATGAAGGAAATACAAGATCATTTTTAGAACATTATAGTACCAGTTGCCACAGACAGGATCAGCAGATGCAAAACTCAAGAAGAGAAACGGTATTTTCAAAGTACGCTCCCAATAGACTTATTAATTACAGAGCGATAAACAATATGCTCACAGCAGGGGCAAAGCCCTGCCACCACATGACCCCTGGTACACTAGGAAAGATACAGCGTCACTTCTGTTGATTTCCTGCCCAGAAGAGGAACCTCAATCTAAGCCAGAGAAAACACCAGAAGCCCTCAGACAGCAGGCTCTCTCCAAAATGCATGCTCAGTGATTCAACTCATTTTTAAGAAAACAGATGCATACTGAGATCACAATACTAAATGAAATAAATCAGACACACAACCTTAAATATGTTTCTCTTGTATGAGAAACCCAAAATATAAATATATTAAAGAGCAAAATAAAAGATAATAGAAAACAAGGAGATATATCTTTCGCAAATGGGAAAGGAACCAAGAGATGGGGGAAGGAGGAGGGGAGGGGAAAAAGATTAATATGTGTCATGTGCATGGGCCAGCTCCACACAATAAGCACAATCATCATGGACTGCTAACACGTACTAATAAAAATATTTTTTCAAAATGTCAAGGTCAAAAGAGCCAAGGAAAGAATGAGGAACCAGGAGACTAAGATAATGCAATAAACACAAAACTCAGGCTCCCAAGAAAGAAAAGGATGTAGGCAGGGAAACTGTTAAAATCTGAGTAACTTGTCCACAGTTTGTAAGGTCTTAGAGTCTGTAGTATGACCAATTACCAACATTAATCTCTTAGTTTTAATACTTTGCACTATGGCTTTAGAAGATGTTACCATTAGGGAAAGTCAGATGGTATGTGTTAGGAAATCTCTGTACTATTTTTGCAACTTTCTATGAGTCTAAAATGATTTCAAAATAAAACACAAAAAATAAAACAGGACTTAGGATATTTCTGAATATTACTGAATGAGAACCACTCAGGCATGCAAGTTCAGTCCGACATCAGTAACACCTGGATTGCAGAGACCTTGTGGAAGAGCGAAGACTTAGGAAGTGAACTGTTATAAGAGCATCTAACTTGGAGAGACACGTATAATAAAATTCTTAGTATACAGAGAAAAATACCAGGGCACAGGGTCTGAGCAGGACTGATGGCTGCATCCCTTCTGACTCATGATTTCTTCGGGTTTTTTTTTTTTTTTTTCTTTTTGGTGGAACCAGGGATTGAACTTAGGCCCTTGCACTTGCCAGGGAAGCACTTATTCTACTGAGACATCTTCCCGGCCCCCATGATTTCTCACAAAGGATTGTCTGTTTACCTGCTCCCCGTTTCTCCCTTCAGAGACAGTGCTGTCAGCAGCCAGCTCTCACCATGCTGGTGGGCACAACCGCAGCCATTTCTTTGTGGTTAGGATATCAAGTAGACAAACATTTCAGTTCAGTTTTTTGGGAACTTATCGCAGTGATGGCCAAACTCCCAGAGATGTGGCGCACCAGCTGTAGCACAGGTGCTATAGGTTTGCCAACACTTATTTTAAGGGTTGCTTTAAGCTATTTAGGGCTGGTGAGATAGCTCAGTAGACTACACACCTGCTTAGGCAAGTGCAGGAACTGGGGTTCAATCCTGGGCACTACATGTCACACCAGCCCCACCCCTGGGCAAGTTGAGCTGGCAACCAAGACTGGGCATGGTGGCACATGCCTGCAATCCCAGCACTGGGGAGGCTCCAACTATGAGTCGGAGTTGCATATGAGATCCTGTATCAAATACATAAAAAAAATAAAATAAATTTAGTTCACCTTTAAAAAAATAAAATAAACAAAAGCTATTTGAATTGCTTCACCTACAGGCAGTCGCTGCCCTTCCTGCCTTTCTAATCCTGGTAGTGGACATAGAAATACAAACCCAAAGCACCTCACAGTGGCACTCTTTTCATTTTCCCCTTCCCACTCTCACCTATTCATGCTGCCTTCTAAATCCATCCATTTCATCTCTAGACCCATCACCCACTGGCTTGGGTCAAATTCTTGATCATTTCCTCTCAAGTGCAAGGGGTAACTTCCCAACTACAACTTTCCAAACTGCAGCACTGTGGCACTAGCACTAGATCACCCTTCAAGGCCAGGGGATTCCTGTTGAGAGAAGGGCCAGATTCCCTACTAGGTGAAGACCCTAGGAGGTTATGCTCTATTTGTCCACTTGATAAGTTTATTTATAGCTGACTTACTAATGGCAGGTGGGGTCAGGCTGGAAGAGGGCCCCAGCAGGTGTGGCCCAGAAGGGTCCATCTCTTCCCACTCGCTGTACCTGGAGCAGCTCTCTCCTGCCCTGCCACCTTGCAGTCACCTGACCATGGACTGAAACCTCCACCAACTAAGAGCCAGAATAAATTTCTCCTTTTTTAACTTTCAGGTAGTTTGTCCCAGCAATGAGGAAAGTGACCAAGACAGCCACAGGGAATCAGGACACCTTCAGAACTTCAGCTTCTTCAGGCTGTGCCTGGAGGCAGTCAAGCTGGCTGGCTCTGCCAGCGTCCCCCTGTTCCTGGCCTGACCTTCAGTCACCAGGTGGTTGGCTTCTATAGATCTTTGGCATGTTCAAACTGCTCTGAGAGCTTTTTCTTCAAATGAAAACAGACTACACTGTATTATTGTTATTATAATATACTATCTTAACTGAAATGCTAGATTTTATTCTATAAAATATAATATCATTCTATAAAATATAATATTTTATTACATAAAATAGTTTTCTTATTAAAATGTAACAACTTTTCTTTACTGTTATCTGCTATTTTAGCATATAAAATAGAACATCCTCTTCCCTCTTTATTAAGCTTTCCCTCCTGTTCTCTTGCTCTTGGTTTTCCCTTCCCCATGTCCTTTAAAAGTTTTAATAATTTCAAGGATTTTTAAATAAAAACAAAATAGAACAAATATTTTAATGTACATTTTCATATTTTGAAGACAAATAATAAAAAAATGCAAATTTGGATTGACATCAATCCCAATTTATAATGTTTACTCATCTATAATGCAGGGGCTGGGGAGATAGCTCAGTAGGGTAAGTGCTTGCCTGGCAAGCACAAGGGCCTGAGTTCAATCCCCAGTTCTGCCAAAAAAAATAATAGTAATAATGTAAGGCAACGAACAGTTCTGCTCTAAAGAATTCACCACACCAAACTCAAGAAAATTACAGCAGTCATAACCAACATTTGTGGAGTGCTCATGACATTCCAGGCACTACCCTACATGCTTCCCTATATTTGGGGGGTTTTTTTACACCTTTTGGCAACCCCGAGGGGCAGGTCAGCTGTTAAACTCTCCACTGAGAATGACAGTGTGTCTGTGGTGCACCTGCACTTATAGGCGAGCAGTAGAGTGCAGGTTGGGCTTTGAGGCACTCTGACTGCACCATCTTGCTCCCTGAATTTTCTTCCCCTGCTGGGACACAGACCTCTCTGACCATGATGTGAAGGATGCCAACAATGGCCACCACCTGCTACCTACGGCATAGATGCTGAGTGCGCCTACAAGCCCATGAGTCACATTGCCAGCTTCCTGAATCTGAGCTCAGCACCTCCTAGGTGAATGTTCTGTGGCCTCATGGCAGCAATGTAATATCCCATGGGACACCCCAGCATCCTCAAACACAGAGGCACCTGGCTTCACTCAGGCTTGCAACCTGGCACACACTTGGGAGTCACTGCAAATCTGCGGAGCTAATACTGTCACCTCAGGATGTTCCTCAGACACAGGAGAGAAGTTTTACATGAAGATTAGTTGAAAGGTAAATTAATCCTGCTGTACAATTTCTCTGACCACTTCCAAAATACAAAACTTTGGATGGGTCAGACATAGTGGCACCCAGTAACTCTAGCCCTGGACAGGCTGGGCCAGGAGGATTACCATGAGTTCAAAGCCTACCTGGGCTACATAGCAAGAGCCTGTCTCAAAACACCAAAACAAATTTAAATTTTGGAATACTGCTTTAAATGTCTTCTAGATTTAAAAGTAATTATGGATACAATTTTCGAACAATGTTTGAATCAAATGATGTGAGGGAATCCCAGATTACCTCCCAGGAACTTTAAAGGTCTTCAGAAAGTAGAATAGAAAGTTGTCAAGATCATCTCCTTTCTGAAATCTGAGTCTGACCTCCTCTTTCTGCCTCCACCCCCTGGCCCCCGCCACACACACATCATAACTCCAGGTCCCCCTTGAGTGCTCAACTCTTTCCAGACTGATCTGCCCTGTTCTCTTTGCCTCTTACCTGTGCTTCAGCCGAAGTTTCACCCCTCCTGACCACGACACTTTCCTGTGCTGAGGGCCCGGGGTGAGGTGCTCTGCACTGGAATCACCAGGACTTGCATGGCCCAAGTCTGCACACACGTCTCTGTCCAAAACAGGAACATAAAAAGTAGAGTATGATGGTCATGTTCAATCTAACACAAAAAACCCCACATGAAAATGGAGCCAGGAGACACAAGAAAGCAGGGCTAAGTTCTGGGTCCCAAGAGAGGAAGTCCACAACTGAGGGTCTGCCTTTCCTGCCTATGTTACTGTGTGAAGCAATAAAGTCTATTTCCCAGTCACAGAAATTGATTTTCTAAGCGGAAGATACATAACTGTAATGAAAGTAAACTCTCCTCTAATGAAGTGTTGATAATTAAGTGAAAAACTGAACTCACTGCAACAAATGGTCAAAGTGGTTCCCTGAGACCAAGTCACACTACAAAGCTGTTCCTGGTGTCACAGTCCCCACTGGAGTCCATGGGTGAAACTCAGGCCAACTCTTGAGTTTGAGCTATTTGGGATTGTTCAGATTCCACTGTGCCTGGAAGCAAGCCTTCTGTGCGTCCATTTTCAATCAACCTCCCACTCGGTCCCTAATGCCATTCCTGGAAGTCTTTCCTCCATACTCCCAGGGAGCCAGAGGAAATCTTAAGCCTCACATCGCCAACGTGTTCTGCTGTAGGAATAAGCACACTTCTCCTCAGGAGAGTCCTAGGAATCAAACTTCCAATCACTTTTATGCTCCTCGTTATTAGACTGTCCCTTGCCTCAGGTATTGAAGTGGGTTTTCTCAGATTGCCAAATACAGTGTACGTTTTCAATTTCTGCCTTAAAGGATTTTTCTAAGCCTCTGAGATCCAACTGGTGAGGCCACCCCTCTGCATATGCCATGCCTGGGCGGGGAAGGGATTACTGAGCAGCTGTTAGGAATAAACCCGTCCATCTGGCCTTGTATTTCCTGGAACCCAGAATGGAAGTCAAAGAGCTCTCTCTCTCTTTCTTAAGCCCTCAAAGACAAGATTTTTTTTCTTTTGTATTATTTTTAGGGAATGGGAAGATGATCAGGAGGTCAACAGGGAGCTTCCATTTCTAAGCTAGATTTTCCTGTTTAATTTAGCATTGTAGTTGGGACATAGCTTGAGTGTGTCCTCAGATTCACATGTTGGGGTGTGGTCTTGGGCATAGGGGTAGGACCTTTGACAGAATGGGCCTATTGGAGGGAAGGCCACTAAGAGCCCTGCCCTTGGAAGTAATTAAAGTAGTCCTCGATTTATAGTTTTTTCTGCTGCGCCTCGCACAGCAGAGAAACAGATAGAAGGAAAAGGTGAAAGGGGCTTTATTTTCTTTGAGGACATGGAGAGAATATGAGGAAGATAAGGAATTCTCTGGAGTTCAACAAAGGGAGGCTGAGGCTTTTATGGCCTTTTGTCAGGGGTGGGGTTTGAAGGAGATGTCTAGATAGACCTGAGGGAGCTGATGGGGGTCTTCCCTGAGGTGGCGAGAAGGGTGAATGAAATTGCACCCTGGACTAAGTTGAAGAAGCGGGGGGTTGGTCTTTGGGAAGACGAGATTTTAAGGGCATCAACTATATTAGATGACCACCATAATGATTTCAGCAATTCGTGCTAGGGCCAGAACATATCAGTCCTCCAGGAAGCGAGTGGCACACAAGTCTGACCCAAGTCTCTCTCTGGCTGCCTGTTGAAAGATGTGATCTCTTGCTCTCACACCCACTCCTGCTGTGTGCCATCACCAAGCTATGATGCAGCCCAGAGGGGCCTCACCAGCGGCCACACCAACAGGCCTGCCCAATCTTGGACTTCTGATCTTCAGAACTGTGTGCTAAATCAAACTTTTTTCTTTATAAAGTTAGTCTACCTTGGGCATTTCATTATAGTAATGTAAAACTAACTTACACAGTTATGCGGTACTCTACATGACGACCTCCTTGTATATAAGTGTTTTCTCATTAGATTTAGACCTTTTGATTTTTCATATATTGAATATAATTCTAGACTTAAAGTCCAGTTGAGGTGGTGTCATTATGTCCTGAATGGTCCTGGGCAAGCCTTACATGTTTGTCCATAGTAAAATGAAGAGACTATGTGTATGCTAGTTAGGAGCAAGGCTCTGGAGTTTGTGCTGACTCTGACTACAGACCAGCCCTACGATGTCCTCTTATCTATGAAATAGTGTGAAGAGACAACTTCTTTCACTGAGTTGCTGAGAAACAAATACTTCAGGTGAAATATTTAGAACAGAGCTAGACATATACATTAAAATCTCCAGTGAAGTAGCTATCATTACCATACTTATTTTATCGAATTTCCATAGAATTTTTTATTTTGTTTTGATTTGGTTTTTGGTGGTACTGGGGATTGAACTCAGGACCTTGTGCTTGCCAGGCAAACACTTATTCTACTGAGCTATCTCCTTGGCCCAGAATTTCTTGATAATGAGGCCAGAGAGATAGCTCCGTGATCTGAAGCGCTTGCTTAGGCAAGCTTAGGGGGGCACAAAGGGTCAGTGGTTCCATCTCTGGTATGAAGAAGAGGAAAGGGGGAGTGGGGAGGGGAGGAGGAGAAAGAGGGGAAGGAGGGGGGAAGAGAGAGGGGAAGGGGGGAGGGGGGCAAATAAAAGTGGATTAAAGTGCCTGCTGATGCAGGGGCCAAGTGGTTCAATCCCCTGGGCCTGCCCTGCCCGCCCCACACAGCCCCCAGGGCAAGCTGAGCTGGTGATTGAGACTGGGCGTGGTGGTGCACACCTGCAATTCCTGCTCTTGGGAGGCTGTAAACAGATGGATCATTAGGAATCTGATCTAATAGTGAGACCCTGAACACCCTGTAGACCTTTCCCTAAAATACAATAAATAAATAAATAAGAAGAATTTCTTGATAATGTATATTATCTGTTTAAACCACTTTTCTATGTATGGTATATGTTTAATAGACTATTTTTTTTCATTATTGACTTACTCTAGTATCTTCATTTTAAAGCCCCCTTCGGCTCAAATGTTAGGTAAAATAGTTGCAGATAAAAGGATCTAATATATTCTTGGATAATAGAAGAGCCTTATTAGCCAAGGAGTTAAAACATCAAAACCGGGCTGGAGAGATGGCTCAGTGGTCTAAAGCACCTACTTGAAACAAGCTTGGCAAAGCACAGGGACCTCGGTTCGATCCTCCAGCACCACATGCCAGCCAGCCCCGCCCCCTGGGGGGCCCCCACACAATAAATAAATGTAATAAATAAAAATAAATATTTAAAAAAAAAAAAAAAACATCAAAACCTTTCACAGAATTAATAACTGAGCCAGGTATGGTGGCGCACACCTGCAATCCCAGCACTTTGGAGGCAGACAAGGAGAATCATTGTGAGTTTGTAGCCTGAGCTACAAAGTGAGTTTAAAGCCAGCCTGAACTACGTAGCAAGACCCTGTCTCAAAAAGACAAAGAGAATTGTCCTCAATTAGAAATCCTTGTGGAACCCTCTAAGTCCCCAACTTAATGACCATCTGGTTTAAATTAAGGGGGAAAGTAGACTCAAAGGCATCTTGCCTCCAATAACTGAATATAAAGATTACAGAAATGAAAAAACCACATCGGAGACTCCCCTCCCACCAGCCATGGCAGCAGGAGGGAACCTTCTCCTTTCCTGGTCTCCTCCGAGCCCAGTGCTGTAAACATAAACCGAGCCAGACCAGAACTTTCATTCAACCTCTGTGGCTTTTAATCACTTCCTCATTTTTGCCTAAACCACAGCTATTAGCTCTCTCCTTTATGTACAGAGGCTTGGACAGAAGCTGAGCTCCTTTCTTTTTCCTTTCCCACTTCTCTTTCCTAGGAGACACCCCAAGAAAGGTTCAGGGGTCCTGGCTGTCACAGTGAAGGGCTGGAAGGACAAACAAATGGGAAGGAAAATGGGAGCCCAAGGAACATGGGCTCATCCCATCTGTTTAAAGATTTTCCATGCATGATTCCATCCCACCCTGGGGAGAGCAGACCTAGTACCCCGGTGCAGCCCTCCAAAGTAACCCTGGCCTGCCAGTCCACAGGACAGTTGTATGTGACTGCTGACCACAACCTCTAGGCTAGGTCACAGCAGCCTCCCGGCACATCTGGTTCAGAGGCCAGGCAGAGGTCCAACAAGTCAGGCAGGCCTCCTTGGAGGTGCACCATGTAGTGCAGAAAACAGACCAGTGACGGTATCAGAGAACTACTAGCACCCAGGTCACTTCTATTCTGCCTTAGACACTTTTGAATAATTTGGACAATATATAAAGCTATATGTTCCAGAAAAAAAACCTCTGGTGAACCCAGACAGGTTACCCTGGAATGAGCACAAGGAGGCCGCCACCCAAAAGCCCTGGAACCATCATAATACCTTGCCGCCTGCCAAATCTGCACATGGAGCTCATTTGTACACAGAACTTGTCAGGTGGGGAACGTCTCATGTGTGCATCACACTCAAGCTGTCTCCAGAGCACAAACTGCCCATGGCCCTGCGGGTCCTATGGTAAGCCCTCACTGGGAGCACTCGATTCTCATCCGGGAATGTGCCCTGACCACACCACATACCTCAGGGAGATCCTCCAAGTCTGTCTTACAAAAGGATACATGTTCCTTTCTGCATGTTGAGAGTTACTCCCAAAACTTCTTTACAAAGATGAAAGCAAATGAGTTTGTTTTTGTTTTTAAAGATCCCTTTTCTGAAAGGACAAACGGAGATACAGAGGTTCTGTATCCTGGCTCGAACCACACATAGATCATATTCTCTTGAGACTAAAGTCACTGATGACCACTCACCCTTCTTCCTTACAGCTCAGTAGTTTCAAGTGTTCAGCATATGGCACAAATGCTGTCGGCCTTAGAATGACTAACCCAGATTTGGCACAGAATTGAGGCAATGGGGCTGTTGCTGAAACATTACCAAATGAGCTTATTTTAACCTCAAAGATATCCAATGCTGTACTCTAGAAGCCTTGAAATCAAGGAAATAGTTACAAATGGAAAGTGGCGGAATAAACCACAAGGCTCCCAGCTCTACGACCTTCAGGTCCCTAAGAGTACCCTCTCCCCTGGCCTATGATCTCATCCTTCA